GGGGGGAGAGAAACACCTTTCGGGTCCATTTAAAAACACATTTCTGACAGAACAAAATTCCAGAAAACATTTTTCCCTTCAACATTTTACTGTAAAAAAAAAAAGTCTCCTTACAGATTACACAACTATTAACCAACTGTGGAGATTCCTAATTATTTTTTTCCTTCTCATAAATAGGAAATAAGTCTAAAATCCATTCCACTACGATACCAACCTCTACCCTCATTTATAAGGATTTGAACCCCCCCCCCCCAAACAGTGATTTTTCTTCTTAATACCAAATGTCTCAATTCGAGAAGTAAGCCAATTTGAATCCTTCAATCATTTATCAATAATTTATTCCTAAACACCATTCATCACCTTCTTAGCATCGGGTCCATCCAGCTGATCCAAAGTTCTCAAGAACTCCTCGTCATCGTGCATTTCTTCGTCAAACGTGACGGGCTCCTGGAGACAGAGAGAGAGAGAGAGAGAGACGTGATAACACTACAGGCACACAACACACAGACATCTGACTGACTTACTTTATCCTTTCTTTTCTCTTCTCTAGTAGTCTTATTTATAATTTTTTCATAAGTTTTCATGGCCCTCGAACTGCTTTTTTGTTTTAACAAGCGTTTTACGGCACTTGCAACACAAAAAGGTCATATAAGTGCCAACGATTCGAGGTGTTACAAGAGAGTAACAAACACAAAAAGAAGGAGGAGGAAAGATAAGGACGATAGATGTTTGATAGGAAAGAAAAAGCAAACCACACCAGAGCACCCGCCACCCACCCACTCGAACTGCATAAGGTCATTTAAACGTGTGGGACACCTTTTTTGTAGTTGAAAGGAAATTTTGAATTTTGCCCGGGAGGAGCCGAAGCCTTCTCCTATAGATTTTAGACCACCAAGGGATCTTTAACGAGCGCAACTTGCAAACAGGACCTCTGAGATTTTTCGTCCTTGTTCGAGAAGGCTAGGTGTAGATCTTTCCTACCATGAGATCAGGGGTGTGGCTGAAAGACACCAGCAAGAAGGAGCCAAGGAAAAGCAGTAGAAGGGCTGCAGAAAGAGTACGCAGCCCAAAGGAGGGGGGAAAGGGGGTGAGGGGAGGTGCAATTTTCGGTCATGAGTTAGATGGGTGGCTTATGTTAATGATATACTAAACAGAGACAATGACAGATAAGTTTTAGTTTTAATTTTAGTAGAGGTTTTACGGCACTCGCAACTGCATAAGGTCATATGAGCGCCAGAAGAATAGAGGTGTTACAAGAGAGTAACAAACATAAAAAAGAAGAAGGGGAGATAAGGACGATAGATGTTTGATAGGAAAGAAGGAGCAAACCACACCAGAGCACCCGCCAACCACCCACTTCGACAGATAAAAACAATGAGATTCTGAAGAAACAGCTGTTGAGCAGTTAGCCCAGACAACTGCCACTCTTCATAATGTGAGTGAGTCAGCTGTTATGCCCTAAAGATTTTTTTTTTTAAAATACAAAGAAAAACAAAAACACAGTAACAACCACCAATCTGACACATCCCCCCCCCCCCCCACACACACACACCTAAATAATAAAGAAAAAAAAACAAACAACATCAAAGGGACCCCCCCCCCCCAATGAATACAACGAAATCTTTGACGTTAACCATTCATTACCTTTTTCTCTTCCTCAAGTTTTCGTTTTGCCGCCACTGTCGTCCGATCACTGCGTGACGCCGCTCCAGAGCCGAAGAAATCTGCCGCACTGACGGGCGTTCCTTTGGTTTCCTTCTTCGCCTCTTTCTTCCCACTCTTGTCTTCCTGCGGCGTCGCATTGTGAATGACAAACTTGTCCAAGGCTGTCTTTGGCTTTTCTTCATCTGATTGAAGCATAAGAGTTTTTTAAACGCCCCCATCAACACAATTTAGATTTTTTAAACGGTGAAAGGGTATATGAGTTTAAGGCCCCTATCAACACTATTAGGTTATTTAAGAGGTGGACAATTTAGATCACCTTCGAAGTGGGTATCCGACCCTGCCTGTCAGGACCAACCCCGGTTGAAAGACATACAACATCGAAGCAGAAAGACAGACCGAAATACACAATATAAATTTCTCCCCTCTCATGTCCCCTGTATGCAACAGAGAAACTGAAACGCATAACCGCTACACCACAGACGCTGGTTATCTGATAGAGAGATTTCAACCAATGCCAAACGTTTCAGACAATCTCAGTAATGCAGCGAAGCTCAGTCTAAAGTTCTTCCTCCAATATAAATTCTGGAGCATACTTTCCACATCTCACCCTTACTCTAGACCAGGGGACTCAAACACAAACCATCCAGATGCTGCTTGAAGATGGGCAGAGTCAGGGTGCCCAGGGCCGCATCAAATATTCAATACAAACACACACACAAACGTACACATACGAAAAGGTTTCAAGTACTTTTTTAAAAAGTTGCAATTTTGTGATCATGTTAAAACTTGTCAAAAAATACCAGCGGAAGCTATCTGTGGTAGCCCATGAGTTTTTCTTTTAAAAAACTTACAGCACCGCCTTGAATTTAAATACAGCATGTGAGGAAAATGTGCGGGCTCTACTAACATTAAACATTAATGTTCTGGGGGCCTCAGTCGGCAAGCGAGCTACCAGTTTGAGATTCTTGCTGTAAAATTATGATCACTTTCAAAGAAATTAGAAATTTAAAAAGGTAGAGTTCACAGACTTCTTTCTCTTTAACATTAAGTGAAAGACAGGCCATAAAATGATGTTAATAATAATAATAATAATGGGAAATTGAAATCTATCCTACTCCCATAAGGCTCTAAGCACTGTACCATGAAGAAATAAGAAAAGCATACATAAAGTGAACCAATCATCCAAACTTACCAGATTCATCCACGAAAACAACAGCATCTTTTTTCTTCCTCTTTCCTTTGGGTTTTTCCTTGGGCAAAGGGTCTTCTCCATCTGAATCTGAAGTCCAAATAAAAAAGATATAAACGAACTAGCACACACACACACCTGTGACACAGCAAACAGATTTTCACATCAAAAATTGTTCCATATACATGATTCTTTGCTATCTGTGGCGACACTGGCTCAAAGCAAAAATTTGCCAGGAACAACCTTTCATTTTTTCTCATGTCGTATAAAATATAAATTTGACCTTCCTACAGCGCAATACCCACTTTGAAAACTCCACAATGATCACTCTCAATCACGTCCTTGACATGACCAAGAGAAAAAAAGAAAAAGAAAGGGATAACCGAGCACACAATCCAGCTCATATATATATATATTCATTCACAGAGCTAATTGTTTTTAGACTTTCGTGACATCAGTAGCTGTACACTACACATAACTACCAACTTTTCAAAATAAAAAAGCTCTGGTCAAGTAACTTTTAACACACAAGTTTCTGCAGCCAATAAATTCAAGCTTTTCAAAGTAGATCCGCAGCAAAAGGTTTCTCCAGATGACTTATTTATGGGCTTCGTTCTCATTATCATTCGCAAATTCAGTCTAATAAGTTCATTATTTTTCCTCAGTAATCAGTAATTCTGTGAGGATTGTATTTTGCCAATGAAATCAGACTTCCTTACGCAGACCGAAGAGCCTCCAAAAACGCATTATCACATGGGTTTTTTTTTAATGCACTGGTTGGCTACTTTCTGTGTAGTTTCTAAGATGAGATGAGTCATTTGATGATCTATGATGAACTTCAAACCTGAATCAAGAAGTCGAGTTGATTTCTTTGCCCCTTTTTTGCCCTTGGTGGCTCTCCTCCTGCGGCTGGAAATGACCTCTTCCTCTTCCTCACTCTCCACATCACTTTCCTTTACCACTTGCACCACTTCAGGCTCGCTCTCTTCATCACTGGATATCTGGTATGAACAAGACAATAGATGTACACAAACATAAATTAAAAAAAAAAAAAAAAGACAATTCCAAACTTATTATTCGAGACAGGATAGAAAAAGAAATATCAATTATAATATTTAATGATCACCTACAAGAAGAAACGAAGTCCAATAATCAAATTATACTTCATGCAGTAGAGTTGATAGTAACACTCCCACTGTCTTTGAACTAAAACAAAAACAATAAAACTACAATTTCTCAATAAGATAGTTCTTAGTCCATTAGAGCCTAACCTCTAGTCTTCACTAGACTACTGACTGACACTACACATTGGGTTACATGGGTACTTTTCAGGATGGCGGCGATTTATTTTCAGACCATTATTCTGTCAGCCACTTCCCTTGACTTTCTTAAATTTTTATTTTTCCTGGTTCATAGTTTACCCAAATCATGGTTGTGCCAGACACATTTGCCAAGCCCCAATGTGTTCACGTACCTTTTTCCGTTTGCGAGACTTTGAAGCCTTTTCCTTCTCCTCCTGTACAATAGAATTCTTTTTTCGAGGACTTGTGCGTTCAGGCTTTTTCTTCTCACTGGATGTTTCTTTCTGCTTGGAATTTCCTTTCCCTGCGGCACTTTCTCTCTTTTCTTTTGACTTTCTAGAAGACCTCGCGTCATCTTTGGAGCTTTCAGAATTCACACTTTCAATCTCAAAATCGCTATCCTCAGCAGACAGCTTGGTAACTGAACTCTCTTTTTTCGCTTTTTTGGTATTCCCCGTTTCTTTCCCTTTTTTGGCATTCCCCGTCTCTTTTCCTTTTTTGTCTTTTTCCGACACTTTCGATGTATCAGTCCCACCCTTGGTGGGTTTCAGATCTTTGTTTCTTTTAGATGTTTTCTGAGAATCTTCTATCACTTCCTCCACATCAGACTCATCGTCAATAACAACAGGAGCTTCCTCAGAGACATCCTTTGTCACCTTTGATTTGACCTTTTGGTTTTTTTCTTTCTTTGGAGACAAATGTTTCTTGTTTTCAGTCCTAGTGCTGGCCTTGCTTTTACTTTCTGCCTTCGGCTTCTCCTTACTTGATGGGGGAGCTGCCGGCTTTTTGGAGCCTGACTGTGGGCCGAAAAATTTTCTAATATCCTGTGAAGCACAAAAGCGGAAAGAATGTTACCAAAACTTAAGCTGACTCAAAAATAATATGATGCAAAATATTTGAAGGATAGAACTGTGGTTTTTCAATTCTTTAAAACTTAAAACTAAAAAAAAACACTTTGGCCTGAACCTAGAGGCAAAACGGGTAAAATCCAAATCAGTGTAAAAAAATTCATTGGAAAGTGAAAATATGGAAGACTTCCGTAACGTGCAACGACTGTAACAAACAGTCACACCCTAACCTCTAGATTTCATAGTGATCGCTCTTATAGCTTTGCACTTTCCTCCCAAAAATATCCTGGAATGAGCATTCTGCCATTCAAATTACTAAATCCAGACCTATGCCTGGTAACTAATCCCGAAAACCTCCCTGTCATCTACCGTCTCCTCATGAATTTAGCTTTTTGCCTTTTCCAGTTACTACTGTTAGTGTTAGGCTATAGATCTAATTTTTATTCCTTTTACATGAATATTGACTTTATTATATATTTTAAATTCATCCCAAATCAATACTTTTTAAATATTTGATAGGTTCTAATCTAACTGAACTATATCAAGCCTAACTGCGTAGTAATTTCCGTGACTTGGACAATCCGGAGGTTTCATGGGAGCATCCCCCCCCCCCCCCCAGGTTAAAAAACATCTGGGAGGTTACAGAGGGGGGATTGTCCCATAGGATTGTTCCCTGACAGCAAACCCACTCGTGCTCGCAAGTCCCAAGGCCAAGCCTCAGATCACTAGGTCAAATCATCAAATCACCAGCTTGTCACAAGTCTTGCCTCTAAGCCTAGGCTTTAGTCCACAACACAACTTGCACTCCGCAAAGCCACCTATGTCAGACCCCACTCATCCTCCACATCTGCTTGTAATCAGCGAAGCCACTTCCATTGGACAGAGAGAGAGAGAGACAGAGACCCCACTCACAGCGGGGCAGGCAAGCCTCAAATCCCGCTAGCAGCCTAGAAAGCCGCTCGTGCCCCATGGCTTTCTCGCAGCCGGGCAAGCTACTAGTGCCAGCATGGAGCAGCAAGACCTGTCACACAGTGTGAACTCTGAACCGTGGAGGAGGGGGAGAGACTGTGCTCGTTTTGGTGTAAGACATAGAGGGTAGAGGGCTATCAAGCCGAAGCTATGTTTAACTTCTCGCCCTTGATCAGCTGAGCAAGTGAATGTAGTGAGAAGAAGCGTGGTATTGTAGGCCTTTAATTATAGGTATCTTAGAATGGAAAACTCCTTGGGTCGTTGTGATTGACTTTTGTATGGCATCACATGTGTGTTTTGTAGATATCTATGTTTTACACTCCCAACGACACAATATTGAACATTTAGGAGAAAGGCAACTTCAACCCAATGTCAGAGCCAACCTGGGCTGAGAGGGAACAACACCCCAGCACAATGAGTCCAAGACAGAGGTTCTCAGTAAAAATTCCTCGCCATATTGGAACCGAACTGAGGTCTTTTGCTCTCCTGACCCATGCACAAGAAAAAAAAAAAACGGCCTTTGCATCATAAGAATGACCGATCCATTATTAATTTTTAAGTGCATAGAAAAGAGCAATTTTTACTTTTAAAACAGACTAAATCTAGAGTTTAGATAGTCCCTAGATTCTCTATATAGATCTATATGAAAAAAACAAAACTCCTTGCACTTTTCGTGCAAGCCTCTCAAACAGCAAGCCTGTCCGCGAATCACAACTCACCGGAAATTCCCTCCAGTAGCGAGCGGCAGACAAAGCAAAGCACTTGACAAGCCTGCTGGAAAACTCTAAGCCGACTCCAGCTCTACCCCCCCCTCCCCACCGTTTTCCCCAATAATTTGATGTTAAAATTGCTATTCAATAAGGTTTGGGCTGGATTGAACCTTGGTGAACCCACTGTGTTTACATGTGTATGAATGTGCACTATCCATATCAACAGTGGGGTGTTTCAGGGGGGCTTGCCCCCCTGGAAACAAGTATTATACAAAAAAAACCAAAAACCCACACATAAATGCCAAACAAGCGGACCATTGCAAACAGACGCGCCACTCTATGAAATCGAAAAATCAGGATTTTGGAGTAAAAAAATCAGGATCTGGTGAAAAAAATTAGGATCAACGGCACTTTTTAGGAATAAGTTCACATTTGGGCCTCTAAACAGTGGGAAAACTGAAAGACAGCATACTCGAGTCGGAGTCGGATAGACTGGGGGAGCACAGGTTGCAATAAAGCTGAAACTCGTAAACATTTGAAAATAACCGACACATACCTGCAAAAAGCCCACGTTCTCATACGTCTGACTTCCATCGCAATATACACCCAAGGCAACCCCCCCGCGGCCGAAAAAAAAAGATTGCGCCGAAGTTGTTCATTTACTTTTTTTTTCTTATACCTTTCCCCTCAATTAGTACCTGTATCACGGCACGCACTTTAAGCCCAAGTGTTAAAAAAATACACTTCCCCCTCCCCCCGGTCGTCCACACTGGGCCCTGAAAAACACCTCGACCAACGCAACCGGTGTGAATGAACTTTGTTGACCCTGACAGCCGACGGTCCCCGACACACGCGCTACTCACACGTACGAGGTCATGTCAATTGAAGCAAATGAACGTTTTCTTGAAAGTTTCAAGGTCTTGATGATGGGCCCGACTAACCAGAACTCCGACGAAGCTTGCTTTTAAAGCAACAGCAGAACAATGAATAGATTATTCTTAGAAGGCCCATGTCATAATTGTTACAGTACTCAGGACACCATCGGAGAATTCTGGGTTATAAAAGCGAAAGTAGATCTTGAGCGTATCCAAGTCGGAATTCAAAATCGATACTACTTCGACTTCAGTTGAAATAACATGCGTGAGTCATCTACTAGAATCGGCATAGATATGCTTAAGAAAGAAGCGTTCCAAGTTCCTGCCCATAAAAAGTCCAATCGGTGCTTCCAAGCAAAAGAGATTGCAGAACTTTTTATTTATATTTTTTTCTAAGAATCAGACGCAACAGACGAACAACAAAAAATCAGGGTACTGGCGACCGAAATCGGGAAAATCGGGATACTTGAGATTTGGGGCAAAAAATCGGGATATCCTGATTAAATCGGGATGAGTGGTAGGTCTGTGCACAGCTAGGCTCAAAAGTAGCTCCCGCTTTGTTCAGAGTTGGGTCCATCAAAGTTCAATCCTACCAAGGTTTGAAATTTTCTTGAAATAATAATTGATTTGCGACAGTTTTAGTTTAAGTGGTTTAATGCTCTCGGACTCGCAACCGGACTTTTTCTTTGTTTGTCTCTGTCTTTCTTTCTCCCCACCTAGATTTCTATTTCATACTCTATCTTTCTCTCGTTCCCTCCTGCCAACTGGGGCATGATACATTTTTAATGATTTTGCTAGCACTTCTCCCCCTCTGCTCTCTCTCTCTCTCACACTCACACACACACACTACCGGGTCTGGGCGCTGAAACTTTCCGAAATAACAAAGTTCCCCTACTGGGTCTGTAGACCTTACTCTATGACTTTGTTCCCGGTTACCGGGTCTGAATAGAAACACTTCGTTTTTTTAAAGGAGGCAACTTCCGGTTCCGGTTTTGTATTCGTCGATTGCGAGTTTTCTTTTTTTTTCGAGCTACCGTAACGGTTAAGCGATTGTCTAACACATAAAATCTAGATCTAGATCTATATCTAATATCATGATGTCTCTCTATGGCATGGAGTTAGGCCAAGACCACTTCTCCCGAAGGCCCAAAGCGAAGAGTGCCCCCTTCCAATATATACTATTATAGTAATAGTAGATCTAGAATCTCTAGATCTAGATCTAGATAATCTAGTCTAGCTATAGTGCTTTAGTCTAGATACAATCACAGCCTCGACTCTCGATGGGTCAGCGTAGGCTATTCTCACCCGGTGCGAAACAAGACCTGCTCTTCCTCATTTTAGAATACTGTCTATTGGTGTGGATGATCAAATTGATAAAAGCCAAGAAAAAATTACTTTATAGCACAAAAGTTACAAGCTAATTTGATCGTCTTCAAAGATGCT